TTGCTCAATACTTAAGTAGGACCACTCAAAGTAAGATGGATTGGGTTGGGGATTTTTTTTTCCTGTCTGAGAGAGTTTTGAAGGTGGTTTGAAATATCATGGATGTTACTATTTCACTTTCAGCACCTCCGTTCTTTGTAGAATAATCACTCCTTTTATGAGCTTCAAAATGTTGCATAAGTGAGATTGAGTCTGCTGTTAGTGAGGCTGTTGGTAAAATCCATATTGACTTCAGTAGGGTCAAGATAAGAGTGCTACATTTTCAAGGGAAAATGATTATTTTTCTTTTTTCTTTTTCTTTTTCTTTTTTTTTTTTTAAGTTGCTTGAAAAGGAGAAAAGATAAAGCCAATAATAAAATGGTTTATAACTTCCAAGAGCAGGTATGGAGGTTTAGATAACCCTGTGATGAGCACATAATAAATGCAAGAGCTAGAGATTATTACCTCTGCATTGACAAATCATTCACAGTTTTGTTTGCCATAGTTATTTGAAAACCTATTTCAAATCTTGTAATAGCTAGCAACATCCAGCCTTGTGTCTCCAAAAAGTGCTGGGTGTTGCCAACACAAAAGGCTATGGAGTAACAAAATAAGGGCTAGAAGGACATCAGGATTAGGCAAAGTATGTCATCTATCCACGGTTTTGAGAAATCTCTTACTCCTATCGTTATGCAGTGGTATAAATTCTTTGATCTCTGATGTGAGTTGATGCATCCCTGATACTGTGTGACCATTCTCCCATAGGACTGGGCAGCAGGGGGTTGCTCCACCTCTGGTTTATGAGAGTATTTGCTATAGGCAGTCATCTGCAACACAGAAACTTACACGTTACAATTTTTAGAACAACGAGGACTTGACAGCAGCTTTATCTCATATGGGGCTAAGAGGCTTGGCTTTCAGTTGACGTGACCAGGGTTTATGCACCATGGTAAAGCACAAATTGTTGTATTTAGCAGCGGTGATTGTGAGATATCTTGCCTTCAACTTGTGACGCTCTGAAATACAGAGTGATTCTTTTGGATTACTTTGACAGACCTTAACATGTCAATGACAGCCTCTGTGTGGGAACTGCAGTAACCTAGCTTTATAGGCTGAAGAACAGCAAGAATAAAGGCCCTTTGAAGGAAGCCTTTAAAAGTGTTTCAAGCATAAGTTTTCCGTGTAGTGTGGAATAAGTCAACTTCATCTTGGTGAGTGATAGGAGAAAGGTTTTAAAGGTAAACCTTGGAGGAGCGGAGGAGCAGTGTTGTTACCATTTGTGAACAGTTAAGCAATCTCCTCGCAGTAATGTGTGTAGGGTTTCTCCCTCAGGCTATGCTCATATGCATTTCTTTGTATGTATATATTGCCCTGCCCTTTGGTTTTATCATTAGTTTTAGATCACGAAGAAAAAAAAAAAGCCACAAATGTTTGTAAAAGGCAGTGTTTCTCAGAAAGTCTATTTCCTTCAGCTGTCATAAAATCTGAATCTTGTGCTATGGATAATAATGCTATGTTAAGATAAACCACATTATTGAGATAAATGAAAAAGAATTATTTTTTTTAAAAAGGACTAAGTCTATCCTGTAGCATTCAGCTCTAATAAAGAGCAAAGAAAGGACAGCTTGGGTATCAGTTTGGTGCCTGTCTTTCTGTGAAATAATACTTCTGATTGCTGAGGTCTGAATGAATTGACAATAAGGCATTCTGTAGCAAATACAAGGCATGGATGGTGGGAGAAAAGCCACAGATAACTATGACAATAGGAATTAGGGTTCTTCTACACCCTGAAGGGAAGCAGAGCTGGTGAATGACCCAGGCTTTCTGCCTACTCCCAGCATTTGTGGGGACCAGTGGAATGGGTGAATTCAGATTGCAGCCAAACTCCCAAATCTAGGGTCTCAACTGAATCTGTTGTCATAGAACAAGTTCTGCCCCTTTTAGAAATAACATTCAAGCACATTAAGATGAAAAGCTTTCACAGTCAGGCCCAGACTACTCAAGCAGTAGGTCTGAACATAGCTGTGGTAATGCAGACTAATAGCTGCTGCTCTACAGCCATTACAGAACATGATAATAAGGATACGTGGTCCTCTGTTACAAGAGGGAACAAAGATTTAACCTTCACTTCTAATTGCATTAACATTGCTGTTTCCCACTAAAGCTGTTCCAGGGAAATAAGATTGATTTCTGAATATGCAAACAATTAAGGACTCTATTCACATTGCTCTTGTATATTTTGGGTAACTTGAGTTGACTTTTAAAGAAATCAGGAAAAAGGCAGCATTATACTGGCAATTGCTAAAAGAATGGGACTTCCCGGGTGACTTGTAGGAGCGTATGGGTATTCTGTAAAATGCTGGCTACTATAGAATAACAGCAATTTTAGTAAGGTCATGATGTTTTCAATTATCTGTCTTGCAGGTATTTTAAGTACAATAAAAGAAATTCTAAAGCTACCACAATTCCCAAAAATATAGTCATAAATTTTGAAATGCAGTGACAGAAAGTCAAAAAAGAAGAGATGACTATTGATTTTAGGATACAAATGTGACAGAAGTGTTAATGGCCATTATAATTAAGTCCTCAGAAATGAAATATTTGTGAGGAGTGTGATTCTGCTCAGCTACTACATAATTTTCAGTATGCCAAATTCATCCTTGGTGTAATCCATTTGGTTTCAGGGAGAAATTTTGATCCATCCTGATAATAAGGGCAAACGTGTACTATTAATATTTAAAAGAATGGCTAGGTAGATACCAATTCTATTATGCTTCTTTGTCAAGTATCTGTTCACTTTACCTGCACCACTTGCCATTTATCATCTCACAGGAGCACCCCAGTGCATGCAACACCCACATAATTTCATTCTGCATGACTGAGGTAGGGAATCTAATGTGGAGGAGTGACTAGGGAGGGAAATTGAAGTAAAACAGACACAAGTGACAACCTGAGAAGCCTACAGGGCTACTTGTGGACACAGGTGAGTGAGAGATGGGAGCAGCTGGGGAAGCCTATTTCCTGTGTATGTAGCCTGACAGCATAATTCTGGGACTTTGCAAGACTGAATCCACAAAAGAAGACATACTCCATATCCCAAAGGTACTAGATCTTCACCCAGCACAGAACTGCAGAGGCAATTGCCATTGCTTGGTAGAACTGTACTGAAATCATGGAGATCTATGCAGTAGAGATGCCCCAACAGAACCCCCCATAACAAGCACCACTAAAATCATTACAAAGAGAAACAAACCAGAGAAAATTGCACTTTTTTTTTTTTTTTTTTTTTTTTTTTTTTTTTTTTTTTTTTTTTTTTGTATTGAGAAAAGGAGAGAGATCAGACCAAATAAGAAAATGCTGTGGAATAGAACAGGAAGGAACTTTCATGTATGACCTTTTTTCACTCCCAAATAAGCCTATGAAATGTAAGAAGGATTTTCTACAAAACACAGTGATAAAGCTCATAGAATGAATAAGATATGTTAATATACGTTATAGAGAATTTGAAGAAAATATATAAATGTTTTTTTGTTTGCTTGTTTGTTTGTTTGTTTGTTTTTTTAAGGTAACCAGTAGTAAAAGGTATCAGTATTTTTGTGGATTTTTTTTTGTCCACCAGGAAATGGTGCTTGGCATACTGTAAAATGGCATTAGTATGATGAAGCAGGTAAAGAAAGAGCTACATGTAGGAACAGTAAACTGATGAAGTGATGCGTACTGAGTATATGCCAAATGCTGATCTTACTTTCTGATAACCAACAGGAAGGTCAGATAAGGTTATGTGAGAGGATTGTTTTGTGAAAGGAATTATTTCAATATAAAAGAAGAAGAAACCTATACAAGAAAAAATTCTTTATGCTCATACATAATTAACATGCAAATTTCACACACTTTCTTAAGTAACACAAAGGATGTTCTTCCCCACATACTGTTTTATAGATAAAAATGCAAACAAGTAGAATATCCAATTATGCAGTGAGGCCCAGACCCTCATCCTTTTAATCACAGAATGGTTCGGGTTGGAAAGGACCTTAAAGATCATGCAGTTCCAACCCCCTGCCATGGGCAGGATTGCCACCCACTAGATGATGTCATCCATTGATGTCTATGTGACTTTAGTCATAGTTGAAATAAGGGAATGCTGATTAGGAAAACATCATAATCAGTATGCCTGAATTACTTACTAGATCTGCTTACTCATGACTCCTGCTTATTTGTGGACTAGCTGAGCTGAACAGAGACTGCACATCGCAGCACTTTTCAGGTATGTCTGGACCAGGGACATGAAGAAGGCAAAGTTAAATTTTTATCAGTCATGGAATCAAGAAAGGACAAAAGAAATCATTCATTTTTGGACTGATAAGTATGAGAGCCCTCCCCTGAAAAGTAGTTGTCCATTGAGTTATTAGTCCCAGGAAAAGGGATTGGGATAAAAATACCTCATCATCCATAGCTCTAGCCAGCAAAAAGCTATAAGGACATGAAAAATAAAGGGGGAGGTTAATTCAAATGGAAAAGATACTTACTTCACCGTAATGTCACTTCTCCTCTCTCACATACTGCAGAACCTGTAAGTTGGGAAAATTACTGTGCCCTCTAACGCTTAAGATTGTACAGAAGAACATATAAGCAAACCTTGCTCATTGTTAGAAATATTTATGTGTCATCTGGGAAGTTAAATTTCTCTTTGAGTGGCCTTACTCTGTTAACAATAAAAGACAGTTAACATTTATTCATATGTTGTACTGATTAGGAAATATCTCTACAAACACAAGTTACTTAGAAACAGCAAGTCTGAAACAGGAGAAAACACCAAGAGAAAAACAAGCTGTAAGTACATTTCAAAAGTGTTTTGTTTTTTTCCTTTTTCATCTTTTGACTAGCACCATCTGTACACAAGAAAGTATGAACATAAATGTTTGGATAATAAAGATTTGCAAGGCACTTGAACAGTCTTTCTAGATAGGATTTCTTCTAATGAACCTCTCAAGTGGAAGTCCTACAACCACCTTTCCTCCTCCCTCAGCTAATGCAGGGAAAGAAGTCTCTTCTGCCAGCAGTTCTTATTTACAGACATGTCCTTAAGGGTTCCTCAAAGTGCTCTTTTAGGCTAAGAGAATCAACATCCTTCTATCTCCATTTTTTCATGCGTGTCCTGTTATTTTTTAATATTACTCTTCTATAGTAAAGCAAATCTCTCATACACACAATTGAGACTTGACTCCAACCTTCATCCTCATTCTGCTTTCTTTGGGATGCTATTCAGAAGGGAAAAGGAGGATGGCAGAGATGTGCATTGAAATTCTCTTGAGATTCGCTCTCTATCTGCGTCTGGAGGTGATGTCAAAACAGGTGATCATCATGAGATGAGCCTTGCAGAAGTTGACACGGTTTTCCAAACGTTCAGTCACACACTCCAGGGCTTCCAGGTACTCCAGAGAATCCAGCTCAAATACCTGCTCCAGATCAACTGTAGAGAAGAAAATACACAGATAGAAAAAGCATACAAAACCCAGCACTAGTTGCTGAGGGATATGGATCCAATTCAAGCCTTCAAAAACATCTGTACTGTATACAATGTTATCTTTAGCTTCCCACTGACACTGAAAGTTGTGTCTGCTATTTAATGGCTATTAAAATGGCTTGTCGGTGAAAATACTATTAAGATTGCACGGAATACTTTCTTGAGTGATATGCTCTGCCATCCTCTCTAGAGCAGCAGATAAGTTTTGCCACACTCCATCTTTCCCTAAGAAAAGCCAACAGAACTGCTCCTCCAGCAACCACACAGCTCACTGTAAGGAAACCAGGTGGGCACAAAACACCTGTGGGTTTAAGGTTAACAGGGAAGCCACAAGTTGAACGTGATGGAGAAATTCATCAGTGAAGTGTAAAACTGGCCGAGTTGATTTTAATTATTTCCACTGGTTTTGTTTCAAGATCTTGCATTTATATGATATGTATTGACTCTCTCATGCATTCTTCTGACCAAAAAAGAGATTGATGTAAGTTCTCTTCTGAATTCATAACTCAGAGTCAGAAACCATCCTCCAACTTCCCTGCTTGTCACACCTCTCCCTGTTCTGGGCAATTCTCACTAGCTTGTTCAGGAGTGCTAACGGAAGGTGTGTACATCACACTACCATAGGTTCCCTTTTGCTGCCAGAGACAGCTGGCAGCTGCTTCCATGGAAGCTGTGTGGGAACTATGTGATCTTAGCCAACACTTCACATCTCATCTAAGCCCTGCGGTCTGTGCTATCCTTGAGGCTTCCTGCATGTATCACACTGGAATCAGAAGCAAAGGCATCACACATCAGTATGCAGATGGCATACTGGTCTTTAAATCTGTCTCTTTTGCCTTATATTATGGTTGTTTTGTAGGCTGTACAAATCTAGTATTAACTTATGACAGTTGTTGAGAGAAGAGTTAGGACACAGCACCCAACCTCCTTATACCCCATGCAATTATCATGAGAAAAAACCACAAATACATTTTTTGGAGAACGCTTTAACTATGAGTTCATCTGTTCACTAACACTAAAAAATGCTTTACAGTTACTGCAGTATGCTTTTAATCTTTTTCCTTTGAGGTTCTTCTGTATCTCAATGTGAATATCCTTTAAGATCTGAACTTTACACATCGACAGTTACGAAAAATGGGCCAAATTCATTCTTCATGTAAGCCCGCTGGTGCCAAGGGACAAGTTTGATCTGCAGTGTTATTTTGTGGTATAAGAGTAGATTTATAATATTGCTCATATGTCTTAGTGATCTGGGGACAAAATAGAAATATCTCATTTTTATAATCTGTGGACTGAAATGTGTGAACGATAATCTACCAATGGCAATATTCACTATTACAATGCTGTACCATTTTAACATTCAGCTCTCAGGCAAAAAGGATTGTTCAGTTCTACCATCAGGATTTAGTAAGAATTATTGGGACTAGTTCTAGAAATATAGTCAACCTAAATTTTGTCCTTAGGTCATATGTCAGCTCATTTCAGTTTACAGACACAGTAGCACACATCTCACTCTTAGCAAACCTTTCTTCTTCCTCACAGTGAAATAAAGCAAAGGAAACCTACAAGTTCAAGCAATAAACGTTCTTACATTCACTGAGCCATTTGTTAGGATCCAGCATCAGGTACTGTTTGGTCACCTCCAGTTCTCTCATTAACCACTCGTACTTGGCCTTGACCTCAGCAATTCTCTGCTGGCGATGCTCCAGGATTTTCAGCTTGGCATTAAAACATATCACTTCCTGCCAACCGGGAAAAATGAGCAGGGAAGGAACAAGTGAAGAGGAGAAGAAATACCCAGATCCATTCAGCGAAATGATCTTCCAAACAATATTACTAACTTACTCTGGAAGCATATGAATTACTGCACAAAATAATCTATCATCTGTTTTATTTTTATTGTATTTTTTTTCTTTAATTATTATGATAATTTTGATGCTTTTGATCAGTGAGCTTTGGAGTCTTTGCAATGATATTTAATAATAAACAGTAATAGTTAGCACCACACAGCATTTTGAAATGAGATTAACTGTAGCAAAACATTTCTGTTTTTTGTCAACAAAAGTTTGTCTAAGAAAAAACTAAACTCTTGGAAAAAGAAAATCCAGTGCTTGGTGCATTAAAATGCTAAGTATATCTCTCCTTGGTGTGTAAGAAATGCAGCAGTCACATCATTAAATAAGAAAACCGGTAGCAATATCGAATTCTGAACGTTCTTAAACAAAAGGATGATGTTGGTGTGAAAAGTTCTATCAATTCATAATCATTAAAAATGAAAATGCATCTTCTTTAAAGACAAGGGGCACAGTAACAGCACAGGCTGCAATGCTGTCTGGATGCACTCCTCGTGGCTTCACGTGACTTCTGAGTGACAGCCATCAAGATGTGCAGTAGGTGAAGCCATGATGATGGCTGGCTACCATTAGCAGTCTGGGGGCAGCCCCCCTACTGGAATTTAACTCCTCCAAGCCTGTGCTAGAGGCTCAGCACTGCTCTATCTTCTGTTCTGTAGGCAAATCTGCTGCGTTAATCAAGTGTGGTAGAAAACACCACCCCAAGAATTGATGTTTTTCTCCATGTAAAACTGTATCAGATGACACCACCATGAACAACCTGAGTGACAGGAGCCTAGAAAGGAAAAATGTCTCAAAATAATAATAAAGCTTATATACACAGTTATTGTAAAAACACTAACTTCAGATACTCTTCATGATTGTACTTCTCAAGAGCTGATCTTTACAATTCTCCAACTTATTTTTAAGTTTTGAGGGGTGAGGTTGGCTGGAGAAGCTTTGCTATTCTGGAAACAATGTCATCAAAGCACTTAAGGCACCAATGCTGTGTAGAAAGATAGATAGATGTGAAGTGCTGCTGGAGAACAGGAGTCACCAAGACTATTAGCAAGGACCAAAATACAAGAGACCAATGTCTGTGAGCTGTTCCTGAAGAAGGCATAACTTGAGTTATAACTGGTCTTAAACGAGATACAAGTGTTGCTGCCAGTTGAATTGACCATGTACAATACTACACAGTTCTGACCGCTTTCCTATGAATCTGCACTTCCAACCTGGATTTCTCTCTCCAAGAAGAGACAGACAGCACACGAGGATCTCACTCACCTTGCTGTCTCCACCTCGTCGCCGCTGGAGTCTCTCCACATCATCTATCTCATAGACTTTGATCTCAAAGGGCTCCCCCAGCCCCCTCTGTGCACTTCGCAGGGGCCCATCCACCCAGCGGACCCCAGGGCTGTTGGCAGGCTTCCTTGCTGGGGAAGCGGTGTCAAGTGATAAAGCTGGAATCAGCCTCCGTCTCTGGGAGCCTGTAATTGCAGAAATCACCATGTTGTGTTAGCACAGTTAAGATTTGATCCTCAGAGGGCACATGCGCCCTACAACTTCTGGAGGTTGGATCTGCTTCCGTTAGCTCAGGTCTCAGTGTGTACAGGTATAGTGATGAAGGGGCAAAGCATCAGGTGGTATCTGGTCTGGCTTTGCTATCCTCTCTCTTCACTGGTGCTGGCTTTTACAGCCTATGAATAAGGATCAGTCAGCCTCTCCACAGCCCATTCTGGGGGAGGTATGGTTGTGTTGCTTTCATTGTTGTTGTTTTGTTGATTTTTTTTTTATAGTAGCATGAAAAAACACTTTGATGCCCAAGTTCCTCTACTGCACAGGAACTACTATGGCAACACTTCGTCCTTGGCACAATGCCAGTCTGGAGTGGCTAGGGCAGTAAAATCACTAGCAAGGACAAAATGCCTGTTATGTATTTCCAATCTCAGCAATTGCACGGAATTGAATTAGCTTTGTTCCTGCTCAGTACGGTATTTTTCTAAAACATTCCTCACTTACATGCATAGCCTTAGCAATGGTGAAGAGCAAGACAGCAGCAGTAACAACTGACTGGCAGAAGGGTTAGTCACTGTGTCTGCATCAATAGCTCTGCTTTATGATACCAGCACAGCGGATGGGAGCACTGCAATAGCAGAATATTTACCATGGTTGATAAAGCCCAGCCATATGGAATGCATCTGCCTTGTGAGTTGCCAAGTCTGGGCCTCAGGTAAAGCAAGAGAGGAAAAGCACGCCACTGGCCTGATGGCAGCAGTAGGGAAGTTGAGCATATGGTTTGTTGGGAGAAAGAACAGACACGTGCAAAAAAAGAAAAACTGGTTACATTTCCCTGCTCAGTTTAGTTAAATCAGAGCAGTGGCTGGATTACAGACAAAATAAAAGGGTTTGTAGCTGACAAGTTCTGCACCACCTTTCCTAGGAGACACCAGGGATACAGGGGATGGGAGAAACAAAAACAAAAGCCAAAGCCAGCAAGTCCAAATGAGACTATCGATTGACTCTCTTAGCTGCAAGAACAATACTGATGCCAAAAGGGAGGGGATGAGAATGATCATGCAGATTTTATTTTAAAAACAAGATAAAATCATCTAAAGGAATTCTTAGCACTGTATTCATTGAAACTTGAATGTAAATAGCTTCAAAAAGTCTGCCAATTTCATGCGTCAATGAAAACTAAAAAAAAATAATAATCCATTGGTTGCTTAGTTTTTGGATTTGCAACTATCCAGCATCAGTTTCATTCATAGGTGTCAGCGGACATTTTCTCAGCTGACAACTCTGTGAGCTATCATTGTTTTGCAAGTGCAGCAGTCTGTGCTAGAAACCAACATCTAGTAATCGGCAATTAACCTGTAAATGCTAACTGTAACATGAAGGAGAATGGTCTGTCTTGCTGCCTATTTGCAAAAAACTTAGTCTACAGAGCTTTTATTCCAGTGCATCCAAAATAATTCCCTGCAAGAAAAGGAGGGCAAAGCCAAGTCATGCAAACAGGCAGCCCTTTTGTACCAAATGGCCTCAGCCCTAACCTGCCCATCCCGTCACATCCATCATACTCGTGCTTCTAATCAAACTGCAGCCCAGCAAATGAGCCCATGCCAGAACAAATGAAGCCTTATAAATACTAGCAAGCACAAGTTTTTTTAGGCCTTTTGAAACACCATTGGAAGTCAATGTCAGCATAGCTAACAATTGGCAACAACAGAGAGGCAGTTTGGGAAGGCACCGACAAAGTGCTGTACTGAGGGTGACTGTCATCAATGATGCCAGAGAGAGGCAACTGAAGGGCAAGAGCAGCTGTGTATGTGAAGGGAGATGAGATGGGCTGGCAGACCATTACTATTTGCTGCATGCAAGAGATCTGCAAAGGGCTCAGCCCACCTGGGAAATGAGCCCTCTGCCTGTTTTGCAGCAAATGTCACTGAATTCTCAAGCTGAGATGAGACCAAAAGGACTTAGGCACTAACTACTTCTAAAAGCACTTTTTTTCAGGGTTTTGGTCTTGACCTCTCACAGGAGTAGTCTGAGTGTGAAAGCAATCTCCTTCCTACCTTTGCTGCTCCTCAGCTTTTAGAGACAGCAGTTCCCCTGGAGGTGCAAATGAATCTGATTCACCTTGCCACGAGGACACCACCAGGCTCTTACTTGGAGCAAAGCTAAACAGATGTCACTGGAATATTAATTACAGTAAATATTTTTGCATTGCATTTCTATTCATACCCATTTAGCCTGAATGACAAACAGAAGCCTGGGGTCTAGGAGAACTCCAGCACAAGGCTCTGTCTAATAGGCCATATCCTTCAGTGAAGAGGCAGAGACCACAGCTGTGGCAAGATGTATGCTAACATAAACTCACTGTGCTTTTTGTGTCTGCATAGCCTGTGGGTTACGCCTCCATTGCAGCCAGGCAGTACAACAGGGCTGAGCCATCAGGCACAGCATTGAGTGTTTGCTGGGAGTCAAAACTGAATCTAGTTATTTGAAATATGCACTGATCAATAGGCTGCTTTAGGCCAGGTACAGTAACTGACAGTGTCTGACAGGTGACTCCTGCCACTGACTTCTCCATTCAGTCCCTGCTTTTTCTGACTTTGCATTACTTGGGATCAGCCAGGAGATACAACCTAAGCAATGCCACAAAGCAGCTGACAGCTTCCTCATCCATATCAACACGCAGAGACAACCAACTGCTAAAATGAATGCAGTTTTCCAAGTCTCAAGCTTAGCTTCAGCACAAATAACCACACTGTGAAACAGCCCTGAAAATGCATAGAATACAGCAGATCGGTTTTCTACTTTGAGCCATTGGTTAAGGTCTGGCAGGTTCAGCTCTGCCAAAGACCAGACAGGGTTTAATTAAGATAAAAGGAGCAACAGTGGAGTGAATGTGTACAGTGTGAAAGTGGATCTGGCTGAAGAGCGGCACTGAAGTTAAAAGACACTGCAGCGCATATATGTCCAGAGAAGCCTTCATCTTTAAAGTATTAGAAACACAGAACTTCAAGGATAAGACGACTCACTGACCTCAGCAAAACTCCCAACTCCATAAGGGTATGTGCTCATAAAAGCATCTGTTAACCATGGCAGAACCCCTAAGCAAGCTGGTTTTGTTTACCTGCTGTATATTTTGTGGTGTTCCCTTTCTATTACTTTCTAAGAACGCATTCCAGTTGGAGCATCTTTTCTGTGGAAAAGGTAAAAGCAAAAAGTATATAGAATCAAAGAATTGCTCAGGTTGACCTTAAAGATCATCAGGTCCAACTGCAACCTAACCACATTATCCTAACAACGCTCCGCTAAATCACTAAATGCAAAATACCCACAAAAAGGAGCATGATGTATGTCTCTTCAAAGCAGAGTGCATCTGCATTGGATGCAAAACAATTGCTGCCCCTGGAATTTTAAGTTGTTGAAGATGAAAATATAATTTGTTATCGTATAATTCCAGGAGTATAGTGTGATCTTAAAAGCAGGATGCACAGCCAAAGCTATTCTCACTGCACTAAAAGCTTTTGGAGGTAAAACTGCCTTTGTGTGCAGATCTTGGTAAGCATTTTGTTGTGGTGTTTTTTTTGTTGTTTTTTTTTTTTCTCACCAGAAAGTCCATACAAACTGAAGGTGATTACAAAAACCTAATCTTGGCTAAGGAGAGCAGTACCTCTAAGCCAACATCACTCCTTCTGTGGCTTCATTTCCAAGGAACAATAGCACCAGCCTCCAATCAAATTGTTTGCTGACTGGCAAAGATTGTTTGTCTGTTCCCCCTGCTGCTCTTCCCTGTCCAACAATGGGGCTGCTGCTTTGTTTGAGCTGAAGATGCTATGCTGACTTCTCTCTTTCCCATTTCCTACAGGGTCTGCCCTCATGGGCAATTATCCATGACTGAACCAAGTCCTCCCATTTCCTTTGACCTCCCTCCTCCTAGTTTATTTTACAGTGCCCTTTCCTCAGAGAAGAGAACAGCTACTCATTTTCACACAATTGCTTGGATTTTCACACAATGTGTGCAATGCCAAGATCCTCTCCTGGTTCCTCAAGTCATTGCCAGTGCCTTCCAGTGGAAAGTTGCTGTGATAGCATGGAGGCTTCATCAGAAATATTTAGGGTGCCCAGCTTGAGGTTAGTACTACCATCAATAAAGAATCCTGGCATTTATTGCCAGAAAATCTAAACTATATTTGCTCATCCTGGCAACTCAGATTGCACCTGAAGAGCTGGAGAAAGAAACACCAATGGGATTTGTCATTAAGAATAGAGTCTTCTATGACCACCTCCCCATAAAACAATTCAGCCCTTATTTTGAGTTGGCTTGTATGCAATCCTGCCATTGCAAATCAGTAAGGAGTACAAGGACACTTGGGGCTCAAAAGAACTGCTTGCTGTATGCAGGAATAAAGCAACCCTTATTTATAATTTTCCATTCATAGCTATACTAGACATGTTGCTTCTATATATCTAAGGAACCTCTATATGTATAATTCTATATGTATAATAAACATACCGAGGTACAGCCTACGTCAATTTTATTTCTATCCATCCTGTTCATTTTTGATCATATTTCTTGAATTACCATCTCACTTTAAAAGGAGCCTTTCAGGGCAGTTTAGAGCTGGTGAATGAGCACTGCTGAAACCAGATGAGGAAGCAGCCCTCCTGCAGCGTGGCAGGTTGACAAGTAATCTGGGAGACGCTTCAGGGAAGATGTACATCACGGGGGCTGCGCTTTCAGTGCCTGCAATCCCTAGCAAGGAAAAAAAACAACTAGAATCTCTTCTACATCTTTATCTCTCCTTGGTCTGGATTTTGGTTTGTCATGCATTTCTCAGCGTTGGGGTGTCACTTAAGAAGCTGGTTACTATTACTGCAATACCGCGCTAAATGTCTGTGCTGCTAGTGGCTTGGCCAGCAAAGACAGAGGATGGAGAAGGAAGGGGCTCTGCAGCCCCAGCGTTAGATCATGGTGAGA